TATCTTCTTCCGCTCAGTAGCATGCACGAGGCTAAATAAAAACGAACAGTATTTCAGACCAGGTCTAACGTTACTGTTGTAAAGGCGCATTCTGATGTCCCTAGTTTTAAAGTTTTGGAGTATAAACCCGGTTGTTCTGCGTGGTTTGGAGACTATCAAGGCACAGTGCTCCGAGAGATTGAGACTCTTTGAGTATGATATACCCAGTTGCTCTTTACATACATGGCAACTCCTTCACCCAGGCGGCCTCTACTGTATCTCCTTAACAATTTGTATCCTCTTAGCCCTACTTCGTAATCTCTGATGTTCTGTGGCAGACACGATTCTGTTTTTGCTATAACAACCGGAGGCGTATCGGCTACCTGTATTCTCAGTTCATCAAGCTTCGAAAACAGACTCCGAGCAGTAGAGTAAAAGAATTTGAGTTTACAACATTGGAAAGTGCTTCCTCCGACTTGGCGCAGGTTTGCCAGTATGGTTGCTGCTGCAATCACGATCGCTGGCTGATTCCATAGCAGCATCGCATTCCTCTGTATCACTTGTCCCTTGAAAATAGCAAGTTTCTATCCCCTCCTGCAAGTCTCCTCTTCATCCCCGTTACTAATTTTCGGAGTTTGAGACGTTCTGCGTGATAATAATTTGGTTGCGCAAACTTCCTTGTGAGAGTTTTAGAGGCTGTTTTTTCCTGGACAGAAGTAAGCTAACCTTATCCTCACTTCCCATGTCTTTCTAAGAGTTCGTGGCCGCACAGTTTCCGACTGTTCGCTTACCTTCGTTCCGATCCTGAAGGCTGTGCGGATGGCTAGCTTTTCATTCGAATTAAGCATTTTGTTCAGTAGGTGTTGAAACATATCAAGTTCGCGGAAATCCTCTCCTTCGGGATAGGATCATTCGACTCCGATAGGCCCTGAACGACTGCGCAATGCTCGTGATCAAGGGGTTATTTGTTCTGTTTCCGGCTGCCTTGTCAGCTGAAGGTCTTAGGAGATGCACCGGTGTCCTCTTGGGTTTTATACTCCTGTTGTGGTGCTTACCTATTGCATCTTGCCACGAAAGTGTTTCCTCAGTTTCAACTGGGGGTTCTTTTTAACAAACGGAACGGCTGAGGGAAGTTGGCGGTTCGCTTTTGTTGTCTTCCGTAGAAACAAGAGTCGCTGTTGTTACTGACCCATCTTCGTGCACTGCGGTTTTCCAAAAACTTTGTTCTTTGGCTGTTTTGTATTTTTGTCCTTTGCCTTTGTCTTGCTTACCTTAACGTTGTTAACCGCGTCTTTCTTGCTGTCGTTCGCTTGCATGATCTTTTATAAGACAGCCAGCTCCTTTTTGAGTTGATGGGCCTTTAGCAGAAGACAGGAGTATCCATTTCACGACTTGTCCTCGTAACTAGTAGATTTTGCTGTGATAACGGTTTTAGCTCGCTTTGCGGGCCGCTGACTGCAATTATTAAGAGAAAGAGCGCTAATCCTGGGTGGAAGGCCATCTCAGTAGGCATTCCTTCATATATTGTTCCGGTCCTGTTGGTGCAACTACCGAAAACTTGCCGTGTCCATGATCTTCGTGTGTACGTAAGTGTATATTCGCTTTCGAGATTACAACTCGTACTTACAGCTGTATATGGTGGTTTATGGCAAATATTGAAAACCAAATGATCGAAAATGCGCCTATTTGTTACAACGTCACTTTGAAGAAAAATATGAAGTTTATGAAGGAGCGACTCAGCCGTTTTCGGTACATCGAAGGCTCTGCGTAAATCCAGATCTTCCTTGTTGTCAAAGGTTTGTTTTCCCAGGCTGATATTTGTGCGCGAACCGATTCCGTAGTCCGTTAGATTTTTATGAAAAACAAATCCCCTGTAAGGACAGACTTCTGATAAATTTCCAGGTCTACAATGGCAGATGGAAATTGCGTTATGAAAATTAGGCAAATACTTGCCCTAGGCGACAATAAGTCGTTCCTCATAAGACACATTAGATAATGATATTAGCGATTAAATTAGATATTTGAGAAAAGGTGTGAGCGCTGAACGGAGCAGAGAAAAAAGTTTCGGAATTGAGAATGATAGGAGAACTCGGGAGCGTTCAGCTAAGAAAACCTTTAGGAGGAAAAACTGTTTAGTAAGGGAAGTCAGATAATAGCAAGTAAGAATAACACTACTGAGTCTGAGGCAGATAACGAAATTGTGTTTCTCGACCCATCCTTATACACAGGCAGGAGGATGGGTCTATCCAGCTCAGGGTGTTCCGAAAAAACCTGGACGGGACAATACATTAATTTCCACAAAATTTTATCCCCTAAACATCAAACAAAATCTAGTCCAGGGATTGGCAGTTAGAGTGAGGCGCATCTGCCCACCTGAAGCTTTTGAGGAAGAGCTCCAACAACTGCGGAACACAGTTCGCAAGAACGGGTACCCGGATAAATTTGTCCTCTAAAATATTTGGGAACGCATTGCACAGCCGACTGTTGCGATTGCAGAAAAGAAATACTGCCTTTTGCAGGATAAAAAACAAGCGAACTAGTCAGACGGAGCTTAACAAAAACTATCACGAGAGAATTCCTCGTGGCAAATTTACAAGTATGTTTCACAAACTCTCCCCTAAAACGTTTGGGAAGTAAGGACAGACTACCGTTGGAGGCCACATAAATGTGCATCTACTCATTCACTTGCTCCTGTAGAGCAGGATACATCAGCCGTACAAGGAGAAGCCTGGTAAAGAGGGCGCTTGAACATATGCCTGCCTGGCTAGACAAAGGTGAAACCCGGTCGACTTCGAGTTCTATTCTCGCACATTTAATCGATGCGAATAACCAAGTCGATGACAAGGACGAATTTCATTTTGTCTACCGGACACTAACAAGCTTTTCCAAAGGCCTACGCCAACGGATACTAGCAACAACCGTGGCAGTGGCTATACGGCTAGCGAATCCAGTGTTATTTTGTCTGAAAACCCTGACAAGCGCTCTCAACCGTCGCCAACGCCAACCTCAATTGATGACGACATGTCGCCTCAAATACCTGATTACAGTGATGGGTACTTCGAGTACTCAATCCAAGAACATCACTCAAACACTCTCTTACCTACCTTCCTCAGCTCTCAGGACCAAAAGCCGCCGACCACGTCATGAGGGCGACGTGGGGAAGATGAGTGTTAATGACTTAATTGGCCTTGAGTCACCTATAAACACTGTTAATTTTGTACATTTTCATTCCTTCATGTAATTGTATCGGTCTGACGAAGAATTACCGAAATCACGTGTTTGTCAACTCCACTTTTCAAGAATAACATTTTACGTGGATTTTAGAACAGGTTTACAGAATCTATTAAACACTCCATTTATAGTCATTGAATAACTAGTCTGCTAGGGAGAATAATGGGCAATTAGCATAACTTACTGTGTCCACGATCATCATGTGTACGTAAGGGTATATTCGCATTCGAGATTGTAACTGATACTTACGAATGTAAATGGTTCACTATGGCAAACATTCAAAACCAAATGGTCCAAAATGTGTCTGCTGTTTAAAACGCCACTTTGGCGGAAAATATGGAGGGTATTAATACTTAATGTAGAAGCGACTCAGTCGTTTTCAGTATATCGAAGGCCCAGAGTAAACCCCCATCTTCCTTGCTGTTAATGATTTGCTTACCAAGGACGATATTTTCGCGCAAACCAACCCTGCAGTTTGTTAGATTTTAATGAAAAACAAATTTCGCCTAGGGACGGACTTCTAATAAATTTTCAGGTATACAATGGCATTTTGGGACTGCGTTATGTAAACAACGCAAACCTAGCCGCCAATTTGTCTTTTCAGAAGATCAGAAGATGAAGATGCGATCACTGGAACAAGAAATTTATTTGCCTGACGTTTCGGATCCTCACTCGAATCCATCATCAGAGACATTCGCAGATAAAGGTGATGGTGGCACCAGGAGTGAAGTATTAATAGCAGGTGGCTGTCGTAGGACCGTATGCGCACTGCAATTAACAGTTCTCGCAATCACCGCTTGATGTCGTAATTGATGCGGTGGTGGCTTGTCAGTCCGAGTCCGAGTCGTTAGTTGCCGCAATATCGTCACCCGTCCTAAATGCTCGCCCGCGTCCTCCCCACGCGACTGATTCTCCTGCCCAGGGAAAATCGCAGTACGGAATATGCTACCGGGAGGTCATTGTGCTTTTTGATGGATTGCGGGCCTGAGAACCATGACTCGAGCAGCTCGCGGCTCACACGGTTGTCACCCCTTGCGAGGATTTCGGTCTCTTGAAATTTAAAAATATGGCCAGGCCCCGTCGAGTGTTCCGCCACCTGAGAGCTAGCGTCTCCCCGCCTCACTGCCGCTGCGTATTCAGCAATTCGCGTACGGAGTTATCTCCCAGTTTCTCCGACATAATTGCTTTGTCCGCAAATAAACCAGATCCGGTAAACGACTCCAGACGTTTCTTGCCGTGGCAGCGGGTCTTTTGGCCTCAGGAATTGGCGCCTAATGGTTGCTTCCGGCCAGTGTGCAACCCCAACTCCAAGTGGAGTGAGAAGACGACTGACGGATTCCGAGACGTTCCTCACGTACGGAAGAGCCCGCCAAAATTTAGAGCCGGTTGGATTTGGTCTCTGGTGTCCTTTTCGTATGCACTGGTTGACAAAGTTGCGCGGGTAACCATTAGCTCACATTACCCGTCGAAGATATTGTAATTCAGCAACCTTGTCTTCCATTTCACTGCAGTGCGTCTCAACACGCCGGTATAGCGTCCATACGCAACTGCGTTTGTGACTGATCGGGTGGTTGCTATTGAAGTTCAGTATTTGCGCCGTATTTGTCGTTTCCTGAACACTTTGGTTTTTAGGCCACCACAATCTTTGCGGCAGACGAGGACATCCTGCAAGGCCAGCTGATTGTTTTCTTTCTAGAGGCAGAATGGTATTACCGACATGTCGGTAATACCATTATGCCTCTATATCATGCGCCGCTGTGCGGCTGCTGGTTGGGCTCGAGAGAGAGCCCTCAAGGCACAACGGAACGAGTGAGTTCCGTATAAACGATCGATGAGCGCCCCCTAACATTGCTTTCCTTCTCCCCCATCCTAAATTGAATGTCCGGAAAGACGGCGTTGAGATGTTCTTTGAACGTCAGCACCTGATCCCGTTCGATGACGTCGAAGGTGTCATCCACATACCGAGCCAAGAATTTTGTTTTGTGGTGTCGGAAAACCAGCGACTTCAGCCGTTGTAGGACCGCCTCGGCTCTTAGTCTCGAAATCGGCGAACCCATTGGCGTTCCCTTCACCTGCTCGTAGATTGTTCCGTCGAACGTAAAGAACGTCTTGAGACAGAACTTCAGGAGCTGGATGACTTTGGCGTGTCCCAGGCGATTCTCCGTTTCGTCGTATTTCTCTTGTAGGAGAAGTTCGATAGTCTCGACTGCCGGTTCCTGCGGGATAGAAGTAAAAATGGACGTGACATCAAAGGAAGCCATGATATTGCTTGGCAGGAGACTTACCCCTTTAACTTTCTCCAAGAATTCCGTTGACGAGCTGACTGTGGTGTTCGAATCGGAGGTCAGAAACTTGAGACGTTGGAACAGCCACTTTGCCAGTCCGTATGTTGGAATGCCCTTTAGTGATACGATAGGCTGCCTTCCTCGTCTAAAATTTGCATGTTAATTTATTTTTACTTGCTTTGATGGGACCTTGACGGGTCTTTAATAAAAATAATTGAATTAATTGAATTGAATCGAATTGAGAGGAGCGTCCTCTTTGTGCACTTTTGGGCTACCGTAGAATCGGGCTAGGGCCGTTTCTTGTGCTCTCGCCATGCGTCGGTCGATTGGGGATATTGCACCCGAGTTGTCCATTGCCAACAGCGTTGCGTTAATCTCGCGTGTTAGCGTTTTCATGAGGTTGGATTCGCATGGGACATAGGACTGACGATCCTCCAACAAGCTTTTGGCCTTTTGATTGTAGTCTGTCCTTTCCAATACGACCGTTTAACGCCCCTTGTCCGCAGGCACGAAAACGGGGTCGTTGTCGGCCCTTTGTCTTTTCTCATAAAACAGTATCATAATGATATTAAAGAACTCTAAACTAGACTTTTAAGAAAAGGTGTGGACGCAGAACGGACCCGTGAAAGAAGTCCGAAACTGAGAGTGATAGAAGAACTCGGGAAACTGCAGCTAAAAAATCTCCAGGAGAAAAGAAGTGTGATTTGGGGAATATGGAAGTGCGGAGAAGGTCTTTCATAAAAGGAGAGTGCAAATATGAAAGCAGATAAGCAAGAGAATACGAGGTTTCACCACACAACACATAGTGAAGCTAGGTTTCACGAGATCAGACCAGAACCGTGGTGTGGGATTGACTGCGAGCCAACCGCAGGAGGTTGGAGGCGTGGAATTTAATGTGACCTGGATTATTTGCTTGAGAAATGGGTTGAATAGGACATCGTGTTAAATGAAGGATATTATGCATGAGCTGTTAAAGTCACGGTATTTGATTGAAGATTTTGATAGGAAAACCACAAGCAGAGAGAGAAAAGTGGGCGGACCAGCTAGTGTGGAGACTTTTCCCAAAATTACCTGCTGTCGTTTCTCTAAAATATCGAGAAGAGAGCTAGCGTCCGCAATTTGTTTGGGGTTGAAACAAGGAGAGAACCTTGATACTGCGATGACTGCAATTGAAGTTCATGTACTTTCGATCGTGGTACTCGTTAGCTGACTGAATAAACTACCGTGAATTATGCAAATGTAAAAAGCTCCCCGCTGTCGTCCGTAATTTACTTAGGCTTAACAAGAGGACAATTAAGTGCTAGAATACCATAACTTAAGAAAATAAATGGCAAATTTAGCATATAAAAAAGAGCATTTTGAACCTTTAGAGTAAGGTGGGAGCATCCAGCTGAATATACAACGCATTTAGAATCTACCTTTAAATTCCGGATGGACGTTCTTAAAGTCCAGGATTTCAGTGTTCGGAAATGAGACGAACATTAACGACTTTATTCCCTCCGAGGTAATTTTAGTCAAAACACCTATAAGTTAGCAATAATGGTAAAAATAACTTTTATTCAAGACCCGTAGGGTTCAGTCCGTAGCAAGTATAAATATTTTTTACAAGGATTTTGAACCAGTATATAGAATTTATAAAACACTACATTCATAACCACTGAATAAGTAGTCTGTTACGAAGAATTATGGGCGAGTGAGGAAAAATCCCCTAACAAATAAACAAAATAAATGTGACTAGACTAACGTTATAGGAGAAAAAGACTGGCGCTCATCGAAGGATAAAAAGCGGGCCAGACCGGCCTGCATGTGACAGTGTATAACGAATTTCATGATGGGGTAAATATGCGGGTCAGACAGGACTGGCCTGCATGCGGTATTAAGTAAAAGGTTCGGGACGGGCATCATCAAGACAGAATTCATATGCCGGATGAGGCCAGTCACGTCAGGCTGGCGAATAAAAAACCAGTCTCGAGGCGAAAGGAACCCAGACGCGATCGGTCACAATCAGCTTTGAGTCCAGCCGAGGAGGCAAGGGAGATGCGACCAGAATACTAGTAGACGGCGAATACAGAGGGTTCCACCTAGAGCTTTGGTAGAGCGCATTCTGTGACGGACAAGATGTATAAACTGAAATATCAAAGAAATTAACATTTCTGATGGGGGGTATTAGAAAGCGATACTCCAAACAAAAGACGGAAATGTAGACGTCCTTAATTCCTGTTGGTCCATTCTCACTGTCATAGCAAATTCGTCCGGGAAGGGTGAGGAAAATAAAGGTTTAATCGAGTCAGCATTCAGATAAAGGCGCAGTTGGCTCTTAAATGTCTGTAGATTATCTGAAGATCTTATATCTATTGGAAGGTTATTTTAGAGGAAAGTATGCGTGGAAGCGACAAAAGAGAGCGCTTCGTCGTGGATGAAGCGGGAGGAGGTATAATCAATAACGAGTTGCGAAGATATTATGGGAGATTACTAGGGGTTTTTTGCTGTAATTCTAGGAAGATTAGAGCTATTATCAATGCGAAGAAGGAAACAGAAGCCTGCTTTCAGTCTTCCATCCCATAACACTTTTAGGTTAGTTAGCTGGCATTTATCTGAGTAGCAGATATCCGGGTGTTCCGTGCCTTAAATTTTCTCAGTAAAATGTCTTTGACCTGTTTTTATTTTTTGATGAATGGTTTCGTTCATCAAACCAAAGAATGAGCAGCAATACTCGAGAATGGGAAGCAGAAACATACGATAGAATATAATCTTAATTCGGGAAGATAGAAATTGTAAGAAATAAAGCCACAAATCTGGGAAGCTTTGGCTGTAATTCTGTCACCGTGTGTCAAAAGATCAAGATTATTTGTGTATCTTATATCTAAATCCTTAATGGTGACACATTCAGTTATAAGTGTTCCTTGAAAGACCACTGGTTAGCGTAACCTGTCAGGTCCAAAAGACATATGGTGTAATTTATAGGGGGAGAATTTGATTAGCCATTTTGACCTTCAAGCTGAGAGTGCAAAGAATTCGGCATGGATTTACTCCAGGCATTGAAGGGTCGTAAATTTATTGAATGGATATACATCTTTGAGATCATCGGCATAAAAAATGACTGAGAAGGCTTAACTTCCGGCGAGTTATAATTTATTTAAAGCCAGAACTATAGATGACCTAAAACGACACCTTGTAGGACACCACTTACAAAAGGGCTTTTGTTTACGATAAGATAGGATGACTTCATTCTGTCTATAAGAAGACTGCGAAGCCCCAGAGCTTGTTATATAACTGAGAGTCTTCTATGTGGCATTTTATCGAAGGCTTAACTAAGATCGAAATAAATAAATAACGACAACAGATAAATGGTCATGACGAAGAGAAGTAAGTAGACTGAGAAACGACAGATGACATGTTTCACAAGAGTGATCCGTTAAATAACCCTGCTGGGAAGGGCTAATAGATTAGTTGGCTATGCAAAAGTCGGTAATTTTCATGGCGATAATTACTTCAAGTATTTTCGCGAGTGACGGTGTTTTATAGACACCTCGATTGCTCTGAACATTTCAACGACAGCCAGACTTAAATACTTGAATATTAGTAGACGTTTTCCAGTAGTCAGGAAGTAAGCCATTTACAAGAAAGACTGAAAAGTGTTTGCTTAGCAGAGTAGGAGAATCTCTTGGCTGTTTTATAAAACAGTTCGGAATATTTTCCGTACCTACTGGGTGTGAGTAAGCAGGATGGATTATCAGTTTTCGAATACGTTCAGGAGAAAAATTAATGAAGCTGAGGGAGGCATCATACAACGGAGGAGTTGAAGGGATTGTGTCGTGTTCAGTGGTGAAATTAGTGGCAAAGAATGAATTTGACTTTTCTGCTTTGCTTGACTCCTCTGTAAAGAAATTATCGTTGGTACTAGGCAAATGCAGAATGACTTGGTGGGACTTAGCAGATGATCTTTGACGGAAGATCGGAGTAACTGATTTAGAAGCATTCATGCCATTAATAACTAAGGACTCGCTACGTCTATCTCGCTCGAGCTTCATTTTCGAAACTAAATCAAATATTCCAACGATTCTTATGTGAACTGATAATGAGCCGATGGTCTGGAATTTGTAGGGACATTACCACTAACTACAGATGCAACCTTGTAGGGAAACACATTTCTGAAGGATCCAGGAAGAAGAATGCTATTTTGTGGGGTTTGAAAAACAGAAGGCATAAAAATAGGATCATGTGAATTTTGAGCATAATATGAGGAATAGTTAATGTTAGATAACGGACTAAATGGTTTCGAGAAACAGCTTATTATTATTTTGGGTATCAGGATAACAATGGAAATGGAAAAATTATAAGCAACACCAACTGGGGTGTTTTCGTTATTTTGAGAAGTAGGAATAGGAACAAGTTAAGATCTCCCTAAATTATCTCCTGGCTTATTTGACCTAACAGCTAGGTCAGACCTGAGTGGCCTGGCGCGGGAACGGGATGGACTAAACCCAGATTAACTAACTAATTCATTATTCTGAACCCTGGTCGGCTGTGCTTCTAGGATTGACTCATCTTTACTGTTAAGATCAAGTGCCCTGGTAAATTTGGGGGCAGCTTTTGAGTACTCCTTGCTTCCTGGAGGCGTTTTAAAGTGGCTGGTTTTAACTGACTCTGTGATAGTGTGCTCAATTGAAGAGCTAGATGGAACTGAAGCCGCTGCAGATAGGGGGGATTTGGTTGACGCCCGATGGATAAACTGCTTTAGAGGCAAAAGGCAGATGAGTAGAATTTTGGGGTCGCTTTACGTTTGTTAATGGGGGAGGAACTATTCGTTGCAGTGGAGTTTTATCCCTACTATTGAAAAGGTTATTTACTCTAAGATATTCAGCTGAGCGCTCAAATGCGAGAAAATAAAGTCCACATCGATCAAAGCAAATAGTTCGACAAGAATTGGTAGATTTTTTGTTTTTAGCTCAAAGTCTTTTAGCTTCAGCGACCCTAAAGTTGAATCCACCAAAATTAAGAAAGCGAAAGGAGACACCAATTGGCACTTTGGTTTTAGAAACTTTTATTTAAATTAGAGTTTAAACTTCGTTTGTGCCTATCTTCGGACTCACAAGCAACCAGATCAATGAGAGGCATGAGCTTCTAGCCCTGCTGAGACGTAAGTAGTGGCAACTTTCCTTCAAGAAGGGCACCAAGCACAGAAAAAATTAATCCGTAACAAGACATATAATTGTTGCAATTTTCGAGCGATCCTAGGTATATTTTTTACCGATTGACAATGGGTTACGAATGAGAAGCTTGGATTTAAGTTTCCGTCAGATTTTGTCCAAGAGTTGCCTGAGTTTCCATGTCGAAAAAGCGAAACAAGACTCTTATCCAAACTTCGAACATGTAAGGTCGAAGATATGTATGATGAAAAAAATTCTAAAAGCTGTCAATATTGGTAGACCAGACAGCAAAATTATTACTAAGCAATTTTACTTAGAAACATAAAGCAAAATCAAAAACTGTTAAAGGAAAATTTCTTAGGTGGCAAACCAAAACTGTGAGTAAAATTTCTATTAATAATGAGGCTATGTAGGATAAAATAGAGGACAGTATAGTTCACTTGGTAGTAAATAAATTGACAATAAAAGCAGACAGCGGAGATGGATTATCGTCCAAAATAAAATAATTTAAAAATTTTGCAATGAAAAACCCTTTAAATGTGGATAAAGCTTCATAGGATTGAGGCTACGCTGTGTGATAAACTTTGGCACTTTATTTTCGCTTTACAGTAAACTGACAAATCATGACGGGAAGCTCAGATGACTTATGACCAAAAATTGCAATTTTTTCCAGATGCAGACTGGAAAACTGTGCAAGAGACTAAGAACTCGAATTAAAAATATAAATTTCACTACTTTAAAAAAATCGTGCTGCGCGCGTTGATTTCAGATGAAGTTCTGTTTGAAAGTGCAAAATTATTCTAAACGTAAGCATATTTTGGAGTCCACAAAACGAAGCAAAAATGCAGAGAGGCGATAAAATGCTCCTGGAGGAGTTATAAGTGACATTTTTCGATGAAATTGTGTGAAAATATCCATAAGTGGAAGATTTAAACTAGAATAAATGTGAAATTGGGGGCAAGGATCAGCCGTGAGTTTCTGACCAGTGAAAATTTTATGTTCGGTAATATATGTCTATCGTGACAAATATAACAAATCTAGAACGAGGAAGTAGTCTCCGCATAAGCACTCGCTGAAAATTTCTGGTTTAGCTACGGTCGACGACATTCAGTTTGCACAATAATGGGTTGCAATATAAAAGGATGAGAAGGAAATACATAAACGTAGACATTTTTGTTCTTAGCACCGGATCCCAGTTAAATAAGATGTCTTTGCTGCAGACCTGAATGTTCGTCCACTGCCCAGATATTGTTTTGGTAACTGATACATGGGCAGCAGCTTCCATACCTGACTCCGAACTCTCTCTTCTATGCTGTACTTGCATTCGAAATGGTCATCAAGACAGTCGTGGTGGGGGAAGCTGCGCCTATGTTAAGCAAACACTTGCATTTCTGCCCGTGGACCTCTAGAGTTTTTCCGCTGTAGAAGACTGCTGCTGGCTTCAGTTTGCTTCAAAATACGTTCTTCTTACTCGTCGGCTGTATCTATCGCTCACCTAACGCCAGTGAGAAAGTTGATCGTTGTATGTCACAGGCATTTCACGCTGCAGCCGAATTAAGCTTTAAATATCAGTTGGTTGCAGGGGGCTTTAATTTTCCTGAAGTCCGCTGGTCTCCGCTTTCTGGCATTAAAATTTCCAAGACACACAGGAGGCTGTGGATTTTGGGATTTGGAGTCAGGTTGTCTATTTCCAACCCGATGATCATGCACACATAACCTTCTTTTCTGTAGAGGTTTCATGCATTTTTTAGCATCATCCCTAGGCCCATTCTTGAGCTCATACCACAACATATTTTTTTCCATGTAAGAACTCCGGGCTGACCAATTTTGTCCCCAAGGTATTGCTTCTTCGATTTCCGATCAGCCCGCTCAGCCAAATTATTAACATATCATAAATTCCTACGAAGGGATTAATTCTTTCCAAGTTCGATGTAAATGTTCGCACTGCCAAACTGTGCAAAATTTTAGGTCCGCTTATTTCTCGTCCTGGTCCCCGTAAAAAAATAATTAACGTCGAGAATGTGGTCGTCCTTCTCTTGCACTTTCGCCATAGGTTGCGCAAGCTTGCTCGTCGATTCCATCATCAGAATGGCGTTTCCGTCCGAGCCTCGATATTTGATATTTCTGAGCAGGCTAAGGGATTTTCCACAGAAATACAACTAGCCGGAGAGATGCAGTTCTCCAAAAACCACTCGTTAGACATCGCGAGTTTTTTCTCTCGAAAAGCACGAAATTACAGGGAAAGGTGGCATCGCAACCTCGAGACGCTTTCAAGAATCCCACTGCCGATGCCCAGTTGACCGCTGATAGTTTCAATGCTTTCCTGTCAAAAACGTTTGTTCAAAACTCGGCCGCTCCGTCTTCGACCATCAAGCTATCGACCGGGGCAGTTCTCGAAATTATAGCTTTGACCCTGTGGGACTTGATTGTTGCGATTTGGCGTTTTCGTCAATCTTATATCCCGGGACTTAATGGTGTCCCGGAAATGAAATTTTCCCGTCAGTCTTATGCAAAATATTTGCTCTTGAAAGCGAAACCTATTCTTCTATGTGGAAGGAATCATACATTTTGCCCATTCCCAAACACGGTCATTCTACGTCAGTTGATTTCTTTTGACCAAAAAACACCCTCCTCACAGTTTTGAGATGAGACTAAGAATAACCTGCTGAGCGCTACACAGCATGGATTCCTCAAAGCTCAGTCTTGTGGCACCTGTCAGCACTCTTCCTTTTATCATGTTCCCCAACCTAGGGACAATAGTTGTGCACTTTACGCAGTTTATGTTGGTTCCACTAAGGCTTTCGATCGTGTTGATTATGCTCTTCTCCTCTTTAAACTTTCCTTTTTCGGAATATGTGATCAGCTCTCGAATTCGCTATTGTCTTGCCTGGACACCCGCACTCAACAGGTTAAGATTTCCAATGTTATCACTAACCCCCAAACGTGAGCGGTGGAGTCATTCAGGACAGTTTACGTGGCCCATATTATTTTGCCTCTTTTGTCAACGACGTGACTGATTTACTTCAGAATATCAAGCCCATCATGTCTGCCGATGATGTGGATGTTGCATACAGGCATAAGGCGGCAGATCATGGCATCGTGCTTCGGCTCCTAAACAGCGACCTACAGGTCCTCGTCCAGTGGTGTCGCAAATGGCGCCTTTCTCTTTTTTGACATAAATTTCAGTTTATTCCAGTTTATTTGGTAAGGATAATAGGTAAAGCCTTTGAAAACCCTATTGATTACATGTCATATCGTTAGAAATAACTGTACACGAACAAAAAATATTCACTATTAAAACAGTACTTGGTTCCTTTGATTAGCATTGTCTCGGAGAAAATATTTGTGAGGACCAGGGGTATTAGTTCAGATTCAGACCATCGAGGGAAAACAGGGGACACAAATAATCATCCAAGCGTTTCTTGAAGAGTTGCAGGGACGTAGCCTCCACGACCGACTGAGGGAGATCGTTCCATTTCTCCACTACCCTCTGCGTGAAAAATCAGAATGAAGATTCAGCCTGGACATTGTTGTCCATTACTTCATCGAGTGACCACGAAGATTGGGTGAAAGGTGCCACTGAAACATGTCTTCAAATTTAAGTCCATAATCAAGGCCATGTAGCAACTTGTAGACGAGGATAAGATCACCTCTTTGCTGCCTGTAACACAGAGGGAATAAATTAAGGCAATTCAGTCTGTCTGTGTAGGAATGGCTTTTTAAGACCGTTTACCAGCATTGTTGCGCGCCGATGTACCCGTTGGAGGCATTCTTGGTCCTTTACCAGCCGCGGCCGCCATGCTTGTATGCCATATTCTGAGTGAGGCCGAACAAATGTGCCGTAAACTCTCCCAAAAAGGTCTTGGTCAAAATTCACGAAAGCCCTTTTTATTGCATGCAACACTCCCATGGCGTTTTTTGCAGCCTTGTGGCACCGCAGTGTTGGCTTCAGGTTGTTCTGTATCCAAACCCCGAGATCTTTCTGTGAAGATTCTGCGGGGAGCCGTTTATCTTTCAGGTGATAAGTCCTCAGACTCTCATTTGAATGACAGTTGGTTGGACGCAGATGAAGGACGGCACACTTCTCCACATTGAAATCTAGAAGACATTTCTTCGACCACGCTTGCAGTCGGTGCAGATTATCTTGAAGGGATCTCTGATCATTCGGACCCTTAATGACTTGCCAGAGCTTAACGTCGTCCGCAAACATGATTTTGCCGCAATCGATTTCCTGAAGGCTGTCGTTAACGTAAAGGATGAAGAGCAATGGTCCCAGAACTGAGCCTTGCGGCACACCACTGGTCACATTCACCCATTCTGACATATCATCCCCGACACAGACACGCTGTTTCCGACCAACCAGAAACGCCCTAATCCAGTTCAGAAGATCTCCCCGGATGCCGATGTCGCTCGATTTGTGAAGAAGACGTTGGTGTGGGACAGTGTCAAAAGCTTTGCGGAAATCGATGTACACGACATCGACCTCAAAACCCTCTTTTAGAGCCCTGGTCCAGATTTCCAGACAAGCTAGCAGATTTGAGAGGCAGGAACGTCCTCTCCGGAAGCCATGTTGAAAATCCTGCAAGATGTTATTTTCTTCACAAAATTGCTGTATAGCGTTCTTTACTATAGCGTCCATCGTTTTGCATGGCAGGCAAGTTAAGCTAATAGGTCAAAAGCTGCTTGCTGTCATCCTGCTACCTCCCTTATGCAATGGAACGAGGTTAGCTGTCTTACACTTTGAGGGCAGCCTTCCTGTTCTCATTGACATCTCAAAGAGAGTCGAAAGAGGCTTTGACAGCTCCGTTGATAGCTCTTTAAGTATCAGCCCAGGAATTCCGTCGGGTCCAGGAGACTAATCAGGTTTTATCTGACTGAGGACGCGTCTGACTTCTTCCACGGAAAAGGCAACGGTTTTAATGACGCCAATATCTTGGCGCATTTGAAGCTCCCGGCTGTCTCGGTCCATTTCAAACTGCTGATTGTCCTCTAGGGACTCTTCCGTAAAAAATGCTCAGTCATGGTGGTTGGTGACGACCGCCAACGCCAAATAAATATTACGACATTAATGTGCCTGGGATTATTAAGGATCTAGGTGTCTCATAATCCGAGAATCTTAATCTTTCGGAGCTTTGCGCTCTGACAATCTGCCAAGCACGTAGAATGACATGGTTTATCCTCCGAAATTGCAAAACTAGCTTTATTGGAATGCGCCTTTATAACATGTACGGTCTTTATTTAGCCTCATCCGTGCTGCTGGGTGGAAAAAAATAGAATCCCTTTAAAATTTCTTCAACCTCGCAACGCCGGAATTTGTCTTCCAAAGAACATTGCGAGCTTACCGGCCTTGACCTCTAGTGAGTTGGTCGACTAAAAAGGGACTATTTTACTGTTTAAGTTCTTGCGCAATTGTACTTTTCACCCGCTTACTACGTAAAACATCTCGAAAACCTCTGATGTAACAGTTGCTGTAAGGTCCTTTCTTTGGTTCCTCTGGCACGTTCCGTTAAATATCGTCGTTTTCTGAACATAATTTCAATTTGGATCAAGTTACCCAAAAGTGCAGAACTTCTGCAAAATTCTTCTTCGTTTAGGGGAAGCATTTCTGGTTTTCGTATTCGTGAAATCTCCCACACATCCTAGGTACAGAATCCGCCGATTTAATCTGTCGTATTGATAGAGTTCATGGTCTCTGATCCCATGACCGGGCTCACCATGGACAATTTCTTTAGCTGACTTTGAGGAATGGTTCTTGACTGTCTCTAATTGGTTCATCCTCAATTTCATGAGAAGGAATGGCCACTGAAAATACAGATGCAGTGTTACCCATCCACCTCTGTACTGACGTCATTTCACGGACAACCGATTTTTTCTTCTGAACCATTCAAATTATAAAAAAGCCACCCTCTGAATTTACTCATAAGGAATTTTTTCACTGTAAGCCCGCTTCGTGCTTTATCTTGCTTTGACAATGCCTCTTAACTGGCATTAAATACAATTATTAAAAGATTAAATTTAAGCTTTATTTTTGAAAGAGGAAATTACGTAATGTGTTTCGTTGCATTAAACCACGGATATGAGAACACAAATCTGCGCAGCCTTTACGCGAAGACCATCTGAAAGAGCTATTAATCAAACCTTTTCACGTCACTTAGGCCTAGCTTTCTTTTTGGAAGCGAGTTCTTAAATTGGATTATTTTGAAGGACGAGAGGAGCAAAAGGTTTTTGGCACCGAAATCCAAAACCACTCTCGTACGGAGAAAACTCAGTCTGTCAAGCCGAAGTAAATCCGGACGGGGAAGCTAGTTTGCGTTAAATTTTTCTGTTCTTGGAAAAGGAACAAACGCAATTGAGACCATCAGCATGAATGAACGTTTGCAAACTTCATTTTTTTGCTGAAATACTTTTGAAGGAAGAATGAAGAGTAGCGGACCCGGGACGTACGTCAATGTACACCACTTACAAGGTTATGAAGAGACTAGTAGCTGTTCGCTGACAAGAAAGTTTGACAACGGTTGGACAAGTCAAACTTATTCGTTTATGGACTAGTTCCGAGAAGACATCAGTGGTACTGAGAACTCTGGCTAAACGCGGACGAAATGGCAGACCGAATTCAGATTCCGCAGGAAAGTATCTTTCACAGGAGACCATAAACGAAAACGCCTTGAAATCCTCGTCGACAACGAAACTTTTGTGATCATTTAATAAAGGAGGCATTTCATGACCATGCGTAAAAGTGTAACGAGGACGGAGGATCTTGGTGACAGAGGCCGCAGGGTTCGAGGCACTGACTGCAATTGATACTCTCGGATGATCGCGTGTATTACGCATCGGGGAATCTCCGGGATATTTACGTCGATGGAAAGACAACAATTGAAGTCATCTGTCGTCTCCCTCCTCAGCCAGTTAGGTCTATTAAAAAGAAATTGACGAATAGTGGGATCAGATAATCAGGGCTAGCTACTCCTGTTTGCCGAAAATCCACGCTGCCCACGTGATTAGTAGAAATGACGTAACAATTACTTAATTCATCATTAAAGTAAAAAATACGTGCAAATCGAATGATGTATGACAGTTGTTAACTAATTCGTTGTACAATTAATTCGCTGATTACTTCAACTTAGGTCAGGGTCAAGTCGCGCAGCTAAATTTCATTTTGCATTTTCTTTTATATTCTTAAGCAATTTATGCATGTTTTTTTACTTGAGTCCCTTTTAAAAGTCGCCTCTCAATAAAAGGTATAATTTTTTTCCAGTTTTCTTTGACAGTATGGCAAAATAGTCGTATTTTGTAAAAAAAACCCTTGTAGTGACTTCTTTCCCGACTACCTCTTTCTAGTTTTCGTAGTAAAATAACAGTAGTACTTGCTATTCAGTGCGTTTTTCTGTACGTAAGCAACGTTTTGATCCTTCTTCTGTAACGAAAAATTTTTCTTGTCTGTAATGCCCCGCAGAGCACGTGCCAAAAGACGAAAGCTTGCTGCCTCCCCACTGTCTCCGGGTTCTAGAATCGCCACTGAAGACATAGCAGTTGCAAGCTTATGTTCTTTGCCTTCTGCAGATAAGGTTAACTCACAAATCCCTTTAGAAAATTTAGAACCTTTCGACCTTTTAACAATCCAAAAATACGCCTCTGCTAGTCGTAGCAGGCCATTAGCCGACCAAATACTTCATCAGTTGATATATGGCGACATAAACAGTAGTAGTCGTTGGAAATTCTACCTCGGAATGAGTAAAGGTGGAAAGTGGTGTCACAAAGGGTTCTGTCTTAGGCCCAGTACTCTTCCTGATTTATGTTGATGACTGCATCAGCGAAGTGAATTGCGAGGCTCTCATGTTCGCGGATGACATTAAAATATGGAGTTAAGTCAAATGCGATGATGACGCAGAGAAGATGCAGTCGAACATCAACAAACTGTGTGCTTGGTCGGACAGATGACTTTTGAAGTTTAACGTGTCCAAATGCGTGGTCTTGCACCTGAACACCGGCCGCAATGCCTCTCCCAAACACCAGTACTATATTGACGCGATGAGGTTAGAAACTGTGGAAAGACACAGAGATCTGGGTGTATGGACGACCACAAATCTATTGCCATCAGAACACTGTAGAAAGATGGTCCAGAAGGCAACTAGTACTCTACACTGGATCAGACGTGCATTTAAAATATTTCCTCCCGAACTCTTCGAAAGACTCTTTGGTGTCTTTGTAAGACCTCATCTAGAGTATGGAATGCCAGCAGCTTCACCATGGGTGAGGAAGGATATCAACTTATTCGAACAGTTGCAACGCAGAGCGACAAAGATGGTCGACGGTCTAAAGCATTTGTCTTATCAGAAGAGGCTGAATTCGCTTGGCCTATTCCCTCTCTCTTATAGACAAATAAACTGCAGTCTACTCTGGACGTTCCGGATTGTTCGCGGCCAGGGTTGCTCAGTAAGAGCAGAGGACTTCTTTGAGCTCGCCCACATAAACCAACTACGCGGCCACGCATACAAAGTCGGGAATGAGCGCACGCGTTTAGACCGACGAAAATTTTCATTCAGCCAGCGGGTTGTCAGACCGTGGAACTCGCTTCCAAGCGAGATGGTGACGGCTGACACAGTTTGTGTGTTTAAAAAAAAACCTGTTCGTCTACTTTTCGACAGAAATTGGCTTGTACAGCATGACTATGCACAGCCAGTTTTGTAAAATCTGTCATATACAATCTTCCGCACTAATTTACAGTGACCCCATGCACTACCTTATGATTACGAATGAACTGAAACCCAATCACATTTTAAATGCCTGAAATTTCATTTTATTTTTGTGTATGAATCTGCGAAAGCACTGTACATAAAAAGGGTCATCATGGGCTCTGCCTGTTACCCTTCAATATACATATACATATACTTTCGTGATCACGAGACAAAAGATCCCTTGTCTACAGAAGTTCCGTTCTCAATGTATGAAAAGGCTACATTGATTCAGTTTCCATTTTCTTCTTAATGCGTGGACTGAAAACATTACATAGGGAATATTCTAGTTTTATACGGATATTTGATGATGGACATTGGTCCAAATTAATCAAGCAGTTTATATAATGAGACAAAGTCCTGATACCATAGGGCTCCCGACATTATTAGGAAGCATGCACCAGTAAGTATGCACTCACAGAAAGCAACAGTTTCGAGTCTCACATGAGTGATCGATACCCACCACCATAACCAAACTTCTATATCAAGTGAACATAAAACATCAATTACAGCAAGAGGTTCACAGTTTGATTTGATGTCACCAAAAAGTGAGGTCCGGATATGTGACCTTATATAGTAAGCCAACTTAAAGTCCAGAACCAGCATTAGTTATTAACCGTGGTTTGTCCGACGTAAAGAAAAAATTTTAGCTGCTGGATGCGGCAACATAGATGAATGGCGTTTTAATGGATAAATGCTTTATAGAACTAATGCCAGAATTAGTTAACGTATCCGAAACCTGAGGTAATAAGGAGAAGAGGTGTGCGCATTACTTCCTTGAGTTAATTCTTTGACTTAATTCAACATATACTGCCTGATATACCGAATTATATTATCTTGTCCTTGTCGGTATATCATGCGTTGCTGTGCGGCAGCTGGTTGGGCTCGAGAGATGAGAGTCCATAAG